GTCCCATCTCTGGACTACCTCGCTCAGTGCCGTTGTGGAGCAGTGGAAGGAAGTTTTAGGTTAATTTTGATTCTTTGAAGTGTTGACGGAAGTTTTAGGTTAATTTAAAAAAAAAAAACTAAAATTGTCCAATTAAACTTATTTTTTTTAGCTAGTAATCGGTTCGGGGTGGGGGCACCGTTGTTAAATACCATACATGTCCCACCACAAATCGGGTCATTAAAATCAAAACCATAACTACCCCATTGCACCATCGGTTCGATTTTGTCGTCCCATTCGATTCGGTTAACCGCGATTTTAGGTTTTCACAGTTCGAATTGTCATCCCTAATATTATGTACACCAATGTGTGCCCTATTAAAAATTAAGATATGACCTTAAAGTTGAAGATTATGTTTGAAATTTGCGAGAAATTTAGGTCTATTTAACGGTGTTTTGCTTGATGGTCACGGGAAAAAAAAAAATAATATTTCATTGAAAAATGTCTTCATGAATTCATATTTTGACACATTTAGGGCCTGCTTAGGAGTTTTGGAGTACAAGTTAGTGAGTTTTTTTAAAGTATCGATTTTTGGCGCTTGAGAGGGGTTTTATTTTGGGTGATTTACTGATTTTAGTTGCAATTTTTACAATAATTTAGCTCATGTTTGAGAATTTATTATCCGACGGTTCTAAAAGTTTTTTAAAGAATATGTGTGCCCCTTAGTGAAAATCTCAATTTATAATTCTTGTATTTTAATCTTAGATGATATTTTACTTATAAGTAATTTTTTTATGTAAGTTAATTTTTAACTTAAAAAGTGAAATATTTATTAATAATTAAATTTACTACAGTTATAATTTAATTTTGAACTTTTTAAAAAAATTTTACACATAATTGATTTTTCTTACTTATATGTACTTTTTATATTTTATAAGTGAATTTTTATCCTATTAGTGTTATTTTTACTTTGTAAGCAATTTTTCTTTTAACAGAAAAGTGATTTTTTATCTTGTAAGTAAAATTTTTAGTTATAAAGTAATTTTTTGCTTATAAATAATTTTTTTTAATTATTGCATTTTTATTTTAGTTTTGAACAAAATATGTGGGTTGAAAATAATATTTTATAGAAGGAAAAATTGACAAAAAAAAAAAAAAAGGTTGAAAAATTGCCAAAATCCATCAATTTGGTAGGTGGAGAAATATGAACAAGATTATAGTACACCAATTTCGGATAATTTCTAA